AAAAAAAAAAAAAGAGTCACTGACTAATTTGCAACCTTTGTGTGACTTGTGGTTTCTGTAAAAAGTGAGAAATTTGCTAATAAATGCTAATTTCAATTTGTTCATCTGAGTTTCAGTTCTATAACAAGTTACTCTCTGTAGCACTATTGCAAGAAACAAATAAATTAGTTAATTAATGGCAATAACTTTGCTTCTTGCCTCCCAATGTAGTCCCAAACAAATCACATACTGTAGGGAAGGCAAAGATCCACTGAAATACTCTGGGAATGAAAGGATAAAAAAAGTACATGTATATTCTTAATGCATCACAGGAACAATTTTACAGACTACAATGTGTTTGCTTATTATGTTTGTTTGTTTGTTTCCTTTTCTTACCAGCAAAACCTGGCCATTACAAAAATGAACCATGTAGACATCAAAATTTGAAACTCTCTGAATTTCCTGTGCATAATTGCATTTCTTGTGCATGATTGCACTCAGAAACAAAACAGTACGTAGCCAATACTTTTCTTCAATTGTTTAACAATAGAAATAACCATCTCTGAAAAAGACAATATTGTTAGATCAAGAAATATTATTGCCATGGTAACATGCATGGCGTCACACTTCTCCTCTCTACTGGCAGAGGGTGTGGGTATATATATAAACTGTAGGCAGCCTCCCTTTTGCTTGAAAGCACTTTTAAGCAAGCAAATATTCGAGTGTGTCGTCGCAGTTTCGCCTTTCTGAAACTCACATGTCACACTTGCTCACAGATTTTTCAGGAAAAAGAGAGACTACTCGCTGGTCTATTAATTACATTAGAACACTACATCTAATGAATACCTAGGTTGCTGACTTATAAGTTGTTGTTCAGGGCCTGCATCCCCTTCATCATTGATACTCTCCATAAAGCTCTATAGAAAATAGATATAAATCATCAATATTTTTATGAGTGTACAAAATGATCAAGCGATGCTCAACAAAAAATGTAACATTGCTTAACTTAGATCAAAACTATAACTCCGGGTAGTAATTTATTGTGGTAGTAAAGAATAACCTAAGCAGACTCCATTTTTAGTGGACAAATTAAACCAACATAACCGTCAATGAATTCTCTACTTTAAAGCAGAGTGTCTGTGCCCGTGGCAGAGCCCCATACCTAATAGAGAATGGACCAGACCTATCGATGCCAGAAAAAAACATCAGTGCAACAGTAGGGTAGCGAAGAGTCATGATAAAAAAGATCAATTGTTTCTAAATATATATAAATGAAAATAACAATAAATCCAAAAAAAATTGTAATAAATAATACAGATGTATGATCCAAGTTTATCCATGAAAATAACTTTTCAAACCAGCTGTAACTTCTTTCTCTCTCTTCTTCTTTGAAAAAACAAGCCAATCAAACACATTGTTTCACCTAAAAACAAAAAAAGAAGAGGTAGAAGTATTAGCTATAATAATAAATTATCAATATAATTTTATATAAATTTAATAATAATTATATAATCATTATTATCACCTAAAATGAAAGCAAATGAAAACAAATAATATTACAGGTTATAAATAATGATGAGGAAAATATAGATAAAAATAATAATAATGATGATCTAGACAAAAATAATAATATTAATCTACGGCTTATCAAAGGGTGTAATCTTTAAAATGTCATGTGAACTAGATCCATTACATTAAGCGTGTCTCTTGGGTTCATAAGAATACTGACAGAGGAAACTTGGACACCTAGACGTGGGGTTTAATATGAAATAGCTTGCACTTCTTGGAACAGCACAAGTCAGCCTTTTTTAGAAGTTCTAAGTAATCCTATCAAGTCAATTCTTACCAATGAACATCAATCCAGTTTGAAACCAAGGATGATCAAATTTGTGAACCTCATTTCCATGCTCATCCTTTAGTCCCTTTGATCTAAACATATAATTTAAAATTAAATTAAAATAATTAATTATTACTGCTACAATAATCAACTAGAGCCTTTCCACCTGAGGTCCACAAAGAGATATTATATTCTATATACAGTCGTAAAAAATAGCCCTCTAGAAACCCAAGCAGCAGATCCAAATGGTTACATCTTTATAATCATGAAGGCAATCAGTAAAAAAAAGTTTAAAAGTGTGCTATAGCAGACTTAAGCAATCAAAGCCAGTGCAAAGTTCCATTTTTAATTCTCCTTTCTTTTTTTCCTTTTTTTTTTTTTTTTTTTATATACTCCCACAGGTGGGGGATAATAAAACCTTTTCAAAGGGGGCCAGCAAAAAATTGAGGGTTTATATTTCCCCCTTTTTTTTTTCTCTTTGTGGGGGGGGGGGGGGCCAGGGAAATATACAAAAGAGAAATTGTTGTGGGCTCTCCCCCAGTCCCCGGGGGAAAAAAAAAATATAATTCTAAAACAAAACGAAAAAAAAAAACCCAAAAAAAACCAAAAAAAAAATACAAAATGTTAAAAATTTAAAAAAAAGAAAAAAGAAAAAAAAAATTTAAAAGTGTTTTATAAAAAAGTTAAACAATAAAAGCCAATGAAAAATTCCATTTTTAATTTTCCTTTTTTTTTTTCCTTTTTTTTTTTTTTTTTTTTACATACTCCCAAGGATGGTGGATAATGAACCCTTTGCAAAGGGTGCCAGCAAGAAATTGAGTGTTCATATTCCAGCCTTTTTCTTTCCTATTGGTGGGAGAGGGGGGACACAGGGAAATGTACAAATGAGACATTGTTGTGAGCTAGCCCACAGTCCCAGGGGGGTATTCTGATTTCAAATTACAGGGTTGATTAAATGGGGACAAAAATCAAAACCTAACTTTCCCTGAACCAAAAATTAACAACCAAAAACTCCCATGCCAGATTTCCAAGCCCTAAAAATCTCCAGGAAGCAAAAAAAAATTTGGTTGCTCTTTACTTGGTTGTGCTTCATACACTCCAACCCCTACTGTGACTTGCCGCTGCCACCAAATTAATGTGAAGCTGTTTCGCTCGCAGAAACCCGCCAACAACACATAGAAATCACAATTAAACCTAACTCGTAATATTGATCGTAATGTTTACTGCTGCAGCTTTAAAGTGATGTGACTTCCAATACCCATAATCCCCACTGAAAGCCCCTTCCAATAGGAAATTCGGGACAGCTCACGACTTTTAATTTTACTCACTACTTTTCCTACTAGCTCTTATAGGTTAAGCAATCTCACATTTTTTGCCTTTTGAGGGTTGGAAAGCCTGCGGGACCGACTGCGGTATGGTAAGCACCCATGTTTTCGAGTGATTAATTTACATGCTTTTATTTAATACTTGACTGTATATGCGTGTGGCGCGCAAATTTCCGATTGACTTTTTAATGATGACGTGAAGGTTTCTCTTTTAAAATTGACAGCAGATCTAATAAAGATTCTGCCTAAAAAGCAAGATAAGCATGAAGAGTGAAAATTTAAAGCAATTTAAAGCCCTCGCCATACTTACGAGCAATCATTCTGTGCTTTCTTCGACAAGGTATTTATAGATCCTGAAATAAGCATTCCGATTGCCAGAAGAATCTGCGTGCACGTCAAGGCCGCCATCTCGACTTCGCCCCAGTGTCCTCTCACCAGTCAAATTTACCACAGGACGCGCGTCGGACGCGCGTGGGAAATTTTAATGTTAAACCAAAAATGAAACAACGTCAAGCTACGTGGATTGTTAAAAAACATCCAGGTTACCTTTACGTCTTTGCACTGCTAAATATAACAGAAAAGAAGAAAATAAAACGAACCTCATAACTGCAAATGTGACTAGATATGTTAGTTACAAATAAGTACTCACTTTTTCAGAACAATATTTCATGGGAGCCCGGTTAGCTCAGTCGGTAGAGCATCAGACTTTTAATCTGAGGGCCATGGGTTCAAGTCCCATATCGGGCGACCGATCTTCTTTTTTCTAATTTTACTCTTTTTAAAACTTATCTATTTTTTAACAAAGGTTTCCTCAATGTTTGATAATATCATTGAAGTAAAGGTCTAGACTAAAAAATAGAGGGATTGTTTTTTTTTTTTTTTTAAACCCAGGGGCTGTATTCTAGTAGAACCTAATTTCATTTTCAGATTAAACCTAATGTTGAGTGAAAGTCCTTGTCAAATTCAATTGTTTTCTGTTATCGCTAATTGCCTGGCTCTTTCAATTTACTGAATAGTTTGAGAATTATTTAGTTAATTTCCCAGTTGCCAGAAATGTTGCGAACAAAGCTTCAAGAACAGCTGAAAGCCGAAGTGAGCAATGAAAGTCCCCGAACGTGATTGGTTAGATTTGGGAGCATTAACCAATCAGAAGTGGGAACGATTGTTATAGACTCAGGTCCGCGGCCATATTTGCATTCAGTAGTTCAGTTGGTGAAGGAAAATAACATGGCGAATTTGGCTTCAAGCCCCGTTCGAGAGGCTAATGATGAATGCTATATGCGAAAGTTAGAGACTATTAGAGACATCAGGTAAAGAAGTATTCGAAGAGTTATATACTGCAAAATCCGATCCAAGGCACATTTTAAGTTTCTTATCAGGCTTTTGACAAGCTTCTATCAAATGCATGCTTAACAAAAAGGCTTTTCATACATTGTGTATAATTTAGGTTCGTTCAACGCCCTAAATTGTTATTCCTTCAGTTCCTACCTACAGTGAAACTCACTGAGAGCGAATTCTCTGAGAAATTTTCCTTAAAACAAGAACCATTTCCTAGTGCTTGAAAAATGGACTGTTTTAACACCTTTAATCTAATTTAAGCTTATAAAAATGCTTGAGTTGTAAAAGGCGATGAATATGCATGGTTGTGCTTTTTTAAATGCAAAAGGTTTACGTGGAAAATGCATCTTTCAGCAGGGTCAATTGCAATTCAATACTATTTTTACTCAACAAAGCAACCTCTTGCAATGAATTTGTTGTTCTTTGTTATTTCCGAGCAAGCTTTAAATAAAAAGCTAGTTTAATGGCCGCATTATAGACTTTTCTGTCCCCTAGACTGTTTTTGTGTTCAGTGTGAAGTAGTTTTATTCTCGTGTTACCACCTATTAAATTAAAAGCTTAAAAGGTAAGACATATCTTCTTTCCGGGCCACTTCCCTTAACTATTAGTGGCCAAGCCCAAATTCAATTCAAGAAACATTGGGAATTATTATTTTTGTTTCACAAAATACCAAAAAAAAAAAAAATACTCATTTAACCTACGGGTAAATATATTGTGCAAGTACTGCTGAAGAGGTTTCCTTTCAATAGATTGTGCGTCCGCCCCAGCGGTTCAAAGTTAAAAATTATACAGTCATAGCAAAAGGTTCATTTGATTGCTAAAAGTCTTCTTTTTTTATGAAATACACAGGCTAATCTAATTCGTTTAGTTCATACCATGATTTAGCTTTAGCATTGACCAGTTAATGTCGAAATATAATTAAGTTTTGTTACCTTAAATAAGGAGCTTTCTTGGTTTTCACTTAGTTTGGCAATATATTAATTATTTCATAGCCATATTGAGCAAAATGAAATGTGAAGCATGTCTTTAAAGAAAAGCATATACCAATGGTTAGGAAGTGCAGGCAAACGTGTGCTAGAGAATGCCTTTCATAATAAGTGAATATTGAATGACTGCATGTACGTGAATAAGATTAAAGCCCCCTTTAGTTTTAGGAAGAAATCCTAATGGAATCATGAATGTGGAAACAAGTAAGCAAGGTTCATATTGAATTTATTTTATTCACGTGGCTTACAGATACAATTGGCCTGTGAAGGGCAAGAAGTAAGGATCAGAGTGAGAGATATTATTGTATTTGAGATTATCAGATACAATGAATCCATTGATATGTGACATGTACAGTCATGACTGCACAGTCCTATTATTCAGTCTGTTTAGTTGTCCTAAATTTCAAGAATTATTTTCCTCAAAAAGGTCATTTGAGGAGTTCAATCAACCTTAATCTCTTGTTGGCGTGGGATAGTGATTTTCAATAGCTTGATCAAATTTCATTTAATTTGAATGCCTACATGAATACACTAAAAACTTTCCCTTGAAAGTACATGTGGACTAGAGATATCCATTAACATTTGATTGACATTTTATCATTTCTTAGCTAATAATAAACTCCCACAGGTCAGGTAGACAGACTATTCGAAATACTCAGGATTAAAGGGCATGTGAGATTTCAGTTTGACTGCCTTTCAATCTTCTAATGGCTTCACCACCAAAAAATGACTTGACAGCTCTCGTGCACCCATTTATCCCGCCATTTGCTGCCAAATTCTCATCTGTCATTTGCTTTTGTACAGTTTGTAGAAATGGAACTTTGTGTTAGTTCATTTTCCCTATTTTAAAATTATTTTTACTTTGCACTTTTTTTGTTTCAGGGTTAAGACATCCCAGTTAGAGAAACTTAAATCTCAGCTCATTCAAAAGTTGGACAGTGCTGACAAGGAGAGTAAACTGTTGAAGGATTACAAAGCAGAAATGGAAGCTTTGCTGCATGAGAAAATGGCACATGTTGAGGAGCTAAGGCTTATACATGCTGATATCAATCTAGTAAGTCAACCTGAAAGTCTTTCCTTTTTTCTTTGAACTCTATATTTTTTTAACTTTAACCCATTCACCCCTGAAAATTTTGCCAAAAAACTGGTTTTGAAGCTAGTCGAGCAGTTTTCTGGTCACTGTCATGCTATAAAATAATAAAGAGCTAAAACTTACTATAAAGCCATTTACAGGTCGTTCACCTTGCAGCCTTCTGATCCAGATGCAAAATATTAGCTTGTGAATTTCAGACATGCACAGAAAGCAAAATTCCGAGATAGTTTTGGGGTATAGAAGTGACTCAGCAGTCTGGACTTTTACTTTTCACTTTCTCTCCTCCCCTCTTTTTTCTCTTTTATTGCCTCCCTTTTTTTCTTTTGCTGGGCATTTAGGCTTCATTTTGGTGGGAAACGTTTTCAGGAAATCTTTTAGGATCTTAGGATTAGATAAAAGGAAAGGTGGGTGGGTAGTGGAACAAGATTTTCATGGAAATTTTCAGTTCAACAGGCCATCTGATAGGGTGTGATAAAAAATCAGAAATTGTGCGATATTTTTAGGGTAGATTGTGTGATAAGATTAGACTATTATGCGATAAATTATGCAATTTTTCAGAGCTAATTTACGTTGTTTTACCAGGTTTCAAAGGAGAAAAAGCTTTTGATGGTGTTTAACAGGCAATGTGAATGTAAAGGAATAATAAAACATCTATTTTAAAACAAAATAGCCAAACCGATTATCTTGACCGGGAAAAGAAAAAAGACACTTTTTTATTATTACATGATGTCGTTACACCGCTGACCACACTGCTTGTCTCTGAAATCAAAATGGCTGCCAAGATACAGTGATCGAAGGTTTCAGATGTCTTGCAAGGCTTTCATTAGTGGTAAATCACCTAAAATATTATTAAGGTTGGGAAAATGTTTAATTAAAGTTAGAATTCATTGTTAACTTCACTTGAGCTTAGCATTTTTTTACGAATTATGCGATTTTCCTCAAATTGTGCAATCAGATGCGATTTGAGGTCAGTTGTGCAAAATCGCACCATCGCGTAACATCAGATGGCCTGGTTCAATATTACACAGTCTTTTGTATTTTTCTCCGGTGTCCTTGACTGAACTGTGCTCATTCTGGTATGGTTTGAAAGATAGCTTCACTCTGCACAAGTTACGTTGGTGGACAAAGTTGTCCTGATCTTTAAAACCAATGACATCACAAGCTGTAGAAGAGAAATGGATCCACATTGGCAGCTCTGGGGTGAATGGGTTAAAATGACTTCTATTCAGACTGTATTAGCTGTTGCTGTTGTACCTGCTTTTTCCCATAAAATGCCTTCTTCTGTTATTTGATCAATATCTTTGAGAACCCTGACTGTTTAATTTTACAGGAAAGCGCCATGGCAAATTAACCTGAAACACAAGGAGTGTCAGAGGGGGACGCTTGGGTCAATTTTTTTCTGGATACATGTGTTGCTGGTCTCTTAATAAGAACCCTACCCCAGTCCTTTCTGTTGTCAATTATACATTCAGACCCTATCTTGGGCACTTTTTGGACCCCAACTTAGTTACTTTCTGTCAGTTTTTAAGCTGTGTATCTTCCCATTTTTAAATCCTTCCTAATATAATTTTCTTAATATCCCCCCTCCCACTCCCCAAAATCCCAAGAATGTTCATACTCCATTTTTTTTATATCCAAATAACAACCCCACTATAATCCAGCGTGCAAAGAAAATCATTTTTAGAGCTTGTCATACAGGCAAGCTGAAGCTAACATTTACTAGCCCAGCCATTATTTCAACTAGCGCCAAAAGCGTTTTGAGGAGCAGAATTGATTTCACAGTTCATTCCTCAAAAAACATCACTTGCCCGTCACGCAAGTTAAAAACAGAATTCATTGGCCTGATAGCAAAATCCCCTAGGCTAGCCTCGGGCTATCGGACACTACTTTCTTTGCATGCTGATAATCAGTCCTGTTGTGAAAATTCACCCCCATCTGGCGGCACATCCTTATAGCCTATTGGAAGGAAGTAACCCCCATTGCTTGGAGCCAGTTGGCAAGCATAAAACCTAACACCAAACTTTCATGTTCATGTAAATGCTGATCAATATTGGGCATTTGAATAAGGGTCTCTAATAATTAGATTTATAATCATGTATTAAAGGCCCTGTTCAAACGTCAATCTTTTCATGTACCAAACTCAATACCTATTTTGGTTGAACCAAGTGATACAAGTTCAACAGTTGATTCAGATGTCGAACTTAATTAGTCGGGCTCAATTNGCAAATTAACCTGAAACACAAGGAGTGTCAGAGGGGGACGCTTGGGTCAATTTTTTTCTGGATACATGTGTTGCTGGTCTCTTAATAAGAACCCTACCCCAGTCCTTTCTGTTGTCAATTATACATTCAGACCCTATCTTGGGCACTTTTTGGACCCCAACTTAGTTACTTTCTGTCAGTTTTTAAGCTGTGTATCTTCCCATTTTTAAATCCTTCCTAATATAATTTTCTTAATATCCCCCCTCCCACTCCCCAAAATCCCAAGAATGTTCATACTCCATTTTTTTTATATCCAAATAACAACCCCACTATAATCCAGCGTGCAAAGAAAATCATTTTTAGAGCTTGTCATACAGGCAAGCTGAAGCTAACATTTACTAGCCCAGCCATTATTTCAACTAGCGCCAAAAGCGTTTTGAGGAGCAGAATTGATTTCACAGTTCATTCCTCAAAAAACATCACTTGCCCGTCACGCAAGTTAAAAACAGAATTCATTGGCCTGATAGCAAAATCCCCTAGGCTAGCCTCGGGCTATCGGACACTACTTTCTTTGCATGCTGATAATCAGTCCTGTTGTGAAAATTCACCCCCATCTGGCGGCACATCCTTATAGCCTATTGGAAGGAAGTAACCCCCATTGCTTGGAGCCAGTTGGCAAGCATAAAACCTAACACCAAACTTTCATGTTCATGTAAATGCTGATCAATATTGGGCATTTGAATAAGGGTCTCTAATAATTAGATTTATAATCATGTATTAAAGGCCCTGTTCAAACGTCAATCTTTTCATGTACCAAACTCAATACCTATTTTGGTTGAACCAAGTGATACAAGTTCAACAGTTGATTCAGATGTCGAACTTAATTAGTCGGGCTCAATTCATTTTCATGATGTTCAATGATTTAAAATGCTTTATACAAATGAAAATAATTTTTTAATAGTAATTTATGCATTAGGTAAACTTTTGGGTTCGACACATGCAAAGTTTGATGTTTCAACCAAAGTTGCTCCATAGTTGTAATTCCCATGTGGGCCACTCGATCTTAACTCATGGGTCGACCCAAATTAGACTTAAATCAATTACTGATTTAAACGTCGATCTTTTCACGTACTTAGTTAAAGGGATTAGGTTAAGTACATAAAAAGTTCGACATTTGAACTCGGCCTTTATACTGGCCCTGAAGCTGGCAGAGGCACTAAGGCCAGCAGAAGGCTTCATCTGGTATCACAGACAGGTGTATGGCTGTGTAACATGTCAAATTTTTTAACTCCGGGCATTTCATACTGAATTTTCCTTTCAGATGGAAAACACTATCAAACAGTCTGAAGCAGAGAGAGAAAGAGGATTGGAAACATTGAGAAGGCTGCATGATGAGTACAAACCTCTGAAGAGAGACATTGACAAAATGAGAGAGTCTCTAGGCCTTGATAAAACAGCTAGTCTCGATGAGGAAAGCAGCCTCACAGAGTAAGCTATTCATAATTAGTAAAATCCAACTAGTGGTCTATTATCACCCTCATGGCCGCTGAGTCAATAGCCCACTCGGCCTTCAGCCTTATGGGCTATTGACTAAGAGCCCATTCAGGCTCGAGGAATAATTGTTAATTACTAAGCAATGGAAATTCCATTAATACATTGTATATATTTTTTTCTTGTCTTTCAAAATCCCTCTGTGTGTTTCCAAACCACTCTGATATGTTGTTGTGGTACAGCTACCTTCTCCTCTCAAAAAAAAATTTTGAGGAGAGGGGGACGGCTGTACACTTATGTTTTTACCAATTTTGTTTGTCATTTACCCTTTAGTTAAAGAAGTAATGTACTTTCCATGACACCGGCAAATTTGATAGAATTATATACCTACGTGGCCTATTCTGCTATTGTTTTAGTTCCTCTAAAGGTTACTCCCAACTACCCATTCCAAAAGCAAGACAAAGTGCTGGTCGTAAATTAATTAAGAAAGACATGGGAGTTTTCTTATCGGTGTAGACTGATACTTTTTTCCAGTGCTGCTCTATTGTTAGCTTGTCCATAAAGAACTTCAATTCAATTCTATGTATTAATAATAATAATATTAATAATAACTTTATTAATCTCCTCAAAAAGGCTTTTCAGCTTAATTTACAATGTCACATGTCTAAAACTTAGTTTTCCTAAAATACCCTTAAAAAATGCTGTTTTATTTTAACTTTAAATACATGTAAATTAGTGATAGACTGAAACTCGTCTGGGAGACTATTCCACAGCCTTTGGCCTCTGAAGGTAAACGCGCGCTGACCTGCAGCCGTCCTACAGAGTGGTATATGTAGGCGGTCCCTATTCCTAGTGTTGCAGTTGTGCACTTCCGATCTGGTTTTAAACTTCTGACAAAGATATGTAGGTGCAAGTCCATTTAAGCATTTAAATACCATGGTAGCATCCCTAACCTCAAGTTGTTTAACAATTGGCAGCCACTGTAACTGCTTAAGAATAGGTGTAACATGATCAAATTTCCTCATTCCAGAAACTATCCGGGCTGCAAAATTTTGCACTGTCTGTAATAGCTCGATGTTTTTCTTGGTGGTATTAGCCCATACTGATGAACAATACAATAATTTACTGAATACGAGAGAATTAATTATACTGATCAACGTACGCCTATCAAACAGGTATTTTACGCGATTTATTTGTCAAAGGCTACCTATACATTTCGAAGTTAATTGAGTTATTTGTTCATCGTACGTTAAATTACAGTCCATTGTAACCCCCAGGTTTTTCGCAGACTTAGATGAAGTAATCTCCTTGCTGAGTAGTGTAATGCTTAGATCATCTGGTATCTTCATCAGCAACTGCGAAGTCCCCAGAACCAGAAGTTTTGTTTTTTTCCGGGTTAATGAGTAGGCTGTTTTTACAACACCATGTGGCTATAATCCTAAGATCTTCTGTCAGCTGAGCTGCGGCTAAGGTGGCATCACGTACGGGAAATGAGAGGTATCACTGTGAGTCATCAACATACCCTACCTTAGGTACAGATGGTAGATCGTTGATGTAGATATTAAACAATGCCGGGCCGAAAATTGATCCTTGTGGTACACCATACGAGACAAGGCGGGGTTCAGATGTTCTCACCGACTGTTTTCTTCCGGTCAAGTAGCTTCTAAACCATTCTATTGCTTCTTTAGAGGTACCCATTGCACGTAGCTTCTTTAACAAGGACATGTGATCAATGCTGTCAAATGCCTTGGAAAGATCTAATAACACCAAGGCAGTGACTTGAAACAAGTATATAAAGTATACAAGTCCTTCAAACAAGTATTTACATGTGTCACCATTTCAAAATTCTTTCCTCAGGTTTCTTGAACGTGTTCCTCCTGGATGGAAAGCAGAGCCACAGGAGCCACCTCCTCCTCCAGTCGCCTCGCAGTTGGCTGCAGCAGCAGCGGCAGCTCAGCAGCTTGTCAACAAGCGGGGACCTCCAGGAGAAAGGCACTTCCGGCAACAACAGCCACCACCCATGAAGGCATGCCTGTCCTGTCACCAGCAGATTCACAGGAACGCCCCCATTTGCCCACTGTGCAAAGCAAAGAGTCGCTCACGGCACCCAAAGAAGACCAAGAGAAAGCATGAAGATTAAAACTCTTGATTGGAAGATATGCATGGACTGAAGACATGGGGGCTCTCTCATCCAATGAGATTGTAATAAGTAAATTAATATTACTTTTTTAATCAATGTCTGAAATACAGGTTTTTTTTAAAATAAGATTTGGAGTAGGTGGGGAAGGAAAAACTTGCAGTAAAGACGTAATTTGAGAGCGCGAAAGGAGTGAGTTTCTGGAACAATTTTGTAATCTGGGCCTCTTAGAATTCATTTCCAGCATTCTGGAGCAAAAATTAGAGTGTTTGAACAGAACACAGACATCGTGAAATTAAATATTCTACCGTAAAATTCCGAAAATAAGCCCCTCCATGTATAAGCACCTCCAAATATAAGCCCCCAAATCCGGTGACGCAAAAAACCCTCCGTTAAATCGCCCCTCCAAATGCATGTACTTGGAAAATTGCCCTCAAATACAAAGTAAAACAACACAAAAACGGTAAATTAACTTTCAACTATAAGGCTAGCCATAAAATAGGGCTAGCCCTATTTCCCTCAAATACAAAGTAAAACAAAGCAAATTTCCCTCCGTACATAAGCCACTCCAAAAATAAGCCCCTCAAAAAGGGCCTTTGAAAAGTATAAGCCTCGGGGCTTATTTTGGGAATTTTACGGTAATTAAACTGGGGTATTTTCCAAAGAAAAGAAGCCGGCGAGTTCACATGAAATAGTCGGCGAATTTTGCAGGCAACTAGCTCTTCTTAAAAAACCCTGAAATGTAGGCTTGCAACTGAGAAATTTTTGCTGCGTGGGGCCTGGAACAGGAAAACTCTCGAAGATCTGATTGCTTGCCGATAATAGATCCAAGTGATTCCATGGGTTTCTTAGTTCCAGATGTCACATTAGCTGACCACATAATCAAGAAAATGCATTCCACACATTGATATTAAGTTAGTAATCTTTATTTGTTTATTATAATTTCATCGGATCGTCGGGTGTGAGAGCTCTCTGTGCTAAGTATCATTAAGGTCGAGTCTGCAATTTAACTTCGTCGTTGTGCTGTTCCAGACTCTAGTAAATCTATACTGTATAGGCAAAAAATATATATATTTCCCAATAACTATTTATGCTATGTGAAAGGTACAACTGAATCCTACGAAATATTGTGTTTTATTTAAAAGAGAAATGAACAATGGCTCGTGTATCTCCCTGTTAGTGCTACTTTAGACATTCATTTTGTGTAACAGAACTGTAAAAATATAAAATACCGGTAATATGCATTCCTGTACTACATTCGAAAGAGGATATAATTACAGCATAATTGAAAATATAACAACTTCAGTAATTAGAAATCTCTAGTCATTTTTCTCTACGTTAATGCCATATTTATTACTAGAATTTTGGTAAATATCTGTGAGTTAAATTCTAGTGACTAGTGTTGCTTAGTGTTATCTTGTTTTGAATAACTAGAGCTGGTCGCTTACGGGAGTGGTCGCATGTATTTGTCTACTGCCGGTCTGTAGGAAAACGGG